TCTACCAAAAAAACCCTCCAAAAATCGATCCACCTCAAAAAGAATCCTCATAGGGCTCGACCCAGCTCTCATGAAATCCGACTTGGGCTCGACACTGCCTTGACAGCGCCCCATTTGGGCTGGGTTCAGCCCAGCCCCGCAGTGCACGAGGGCCTGGTCCGACACTAATCGAATCCCACGAGGGTTCGATCCAGCTCTAATAGAATCCTACCGGGGCCGGACCAGCTCCAATGGGATCCCACTTGTCTTGGGGCCCGACGCAACTCTGATCGGATCCTTCTGGGGCTCGATCCAACTCTGACGGAATTAGTACAAGGGTCGATCCATCTCTAAACGACTACGGCCCCGCTGTCGTCGTCATCGTCGTCGACGGCGCCGGCGCCGGCGCCGGCGACGGCGCTCGCCGTCGTCGTTTGCCTCCTTTGGCGCGGGGGGGGGGATCGATTCGAGCCCCCCCCCCCCCCCCCCCATGCAAATCAAAAGGCCCCCCCACCCCCAAGTTCGACATCCCCCGCGCAATTCTGGCAGGGGGGCAGGGGCGATTCACCCCCCCGCGTGAACGCGAGATCTTGTGGGCGCTAGTTGATGCCCCCGAGCTTGCCCCTCGCCTCACTTTCTGGCGGCTTACCGGGGCCCTTAATGCGGGGCCCCGACGTGTGCACCACCACCAGGCGGCCATGGGAAAAGGACCATATCCTGCGCGCGACCGCCCCGACAGGGGCGCCACTGCTTGCCCCCGCCCAGCGCGAGGACTCGCCACTTGGTCATCTTCGCAGATGGCGGCCGCATTCGGTCGCGAATCATTGGCCCTATGACAGCGCGGCGGTGGCGTATAACAGCGATGGGCCTACCCGCGCGCGCTATGCACCACCCCGAAATATACACCACGTGAATGTCTTTCTATCTTTTTGCGCATGCGGCCGCGTGCCCAGATGGCGCTGCACACGCGACATGTCATGATCGCGAGATTTGACGCGCCCTGAACCCCGCCGCCAAAACGCAAATCCGACCACCCCCCACGACAGAAACCGGCCCGCGGTGGCGACGTATCTGCGCGGGTCCTGGACTTGAGGCGGTAGGCGACAGGAACGCATGCGAGCCGACGATGCTGCCAGCGCCGCGCTGCATCTGAAACCGCAACTTCGCACTGGTAGCGGGCAGAACTCGAGCCGCGGGCTAGCGCCAGTAGCAGCGAGAGGCTTCATCAGATAGCCCGCCGACGGCGGACGGCCCGCAGTGCTACGACTGAGAGAAGACCAGCGAGCAGATCCATCGGCCACCAGGGCGCCCAAGCGGGAGACGCCAGAAGACGGCGAAGACGGACCGGGCGATGCTAAGAAATGCGGCCCACATGTTCGAGCGCCCGCGCTCGCCCCCAGACGACGACGATGAAGAACTACAGGCAGAGAATGGAAGCGTTCAAGATATGCAACAGGCTCACCGGAGAAGCAGGCCACCGAGCTCGACGCGGAGCTCAAACGCGACGCCTGGGCGCGCGCCGACGATCTCGACCCGCTTTCGGTGCAAGATGCGGGAGGTCCCAAACGCGCTGGAATCATGCCCGTAGATTCTCGCGCATTCCTCATTGCACGCATGACGTCGGGGTAGCTCGGCATCGGCTGTGCCGACAATCATCCGCCCCGGTCTGGGCTTCCGTCTTCGAGATCGTCATCCGAATCAAAACTGACTTTCTGACTGGCCTCAACCGTTACATGGCAACTCAACTCACTCACTAACGGGTCCGAGCCCAGGGCGAGCCCGACACGCCGATCGGGAAGAGGATCGAGATGATGCGATGGACCATGCGAAGTGTGGAATCGGGCATATTCTTCGTTCTTTTCAACTAAATGAGAACTATCCCCATCCGATTGCAAGCCGCTCCTCGCTTTGTCCGCGCAACGCGAACGGCGCCGCGCGTCCTGCGCCTAGACTTTCGGCGCCCGAGATTCCCACGGGGACGTGATCCAACAACTTCGCCATCCCAAGATCTAGGTCGGTCGATGGCTGAAAACCAAAGTGTACCGACGCCAATTCAGATGGTCCCTCGGCGGAAGTTCCGGCTATGCCATACCTTCCGCCCGAGGATTACGCTCTGGACCTTGTCACAGAATCAACCGGTGAATCCCCGCCAGTCAAGTCAAACGCAGTCGCCGATGCTTGCTTCCTGGGGGAGTTAAGAAAATTTGGTCGCCTCGTTGACGCACCCGCACTTTAATTACGCTCGGAAGGGTATCGATATTATGTTTGTCCGCGCGCGCCTTCTGTGATCCCATGATCTGCGAAACTAACGGCTGTGCCGTCGTTTCGGCTGATAACCAATCTTTTGCCTGGATATGCATAGTCCTTGTAAGATGTTCCAGTAATATATCATAGTCAGTGGGCTCCGCCGATGAGATGGAGAAGAAAAGATAATGCCGTCAAACATACACTAAAGTAGCACTGAAAGGAGGGGGCCGGCCCGCCGGCCGACGCACGCGCGCGCGCCGCAGGCTCGCTCCTTTCCCGTTTCCTTAGGGCCAAAGCGGTATAGCTGCGGAAACAGAAGCAGACAAAAACGTCGGGCACAGCGCGCACGGCAAAGGAGCAGACAAGACGGAAGGATGGTGGTGCGGAAGGGGTGCATTGACTTCTCTACCACAAGACCATTGCGGAACACTGGGAGGAGTGGAAGAAGTTCGGTTCAACTTGCCAGGACAACGACAATAACAAATTCTTGCCGTCAACGGTCGTGTTTCGCGGCAAGAACGCCAACATCCGCACAGAGGCCAACTTAGTTCCTGTGCAGGCGAAGGCTCGTCTATGTGCAGGAGGTCATCGAGATCATGACCTGCAAACTGCAATGTTTCACACACGTGCACCTACCGTTACACGCACGAATTCGATGCTGTGCTTCTGCATGGCCGCCCGACATGAAAGGGAGCTGGTGTGTGCGGACATCATGTCCGCCTTCATGCAGAGCGAGGAACAGCCCAGGGACAAGCTGTTATTCATGGAGCAGCCGCCGCACTACTCAAGGCCAATTTTATGGGTTGGCATGGTCATCATGTCAATATTGTGCAGAGTTTGGTGGATCCAGCTTTATTCGTGACCAGCAATTGTGTGTTCAAGTGGATCATTGTGGATCGCCGCCAGCACCGCCACCAGCTACGAAATCATCAAAGGGTTATTTCCACTCGGTGGTTGGCAAAGTTTGGGATTCACATGTTGCGCCAAGGATGTGGTGAGCAGATGAGATCAAGCCACTTGTATGTCTCAAAGCGTCTTTGCCGAAAAGCTAGAACCGCTGGAATTGAACAGGGAACGCAAGATATATTTTTGATGTCCAGCTACGGACATCGAGACCGCCGAGAACCAGATCCTGATCGGGAGTGTAGGCTGGCTTGCCACTCAGACCCGTCCTCATTTAGCAACTGGAATTTCAATGGGCGCAGAACTCTCCGACAATAACAAACCTCATTGGGACAACTCGCATCGTGTCCGAGGCTAACCGCTACAAGGAGACGGCGATCACCATGGCCAAGATGGAGGAGGACTTGTGTACTCTTGTGTTTCACGACGCCGCACGGGCGAACGTGATCCCAAGGACGAGGTCACCGGAAATGCGTGGTGGTGTGCACGGAGGATGAAGACTGCATTTGCTTTCGGAGACCGCGAAGCAACAAAAGGCCAAGAGCCAGTCCGGATCGGATTCATGATCTTCGTGGACGAACAAATAACGGCGAGGGCAAGACTGCATTGGTGAATCGGAGATCTGCTACTATTCGAAGGGTATGCCACAATACGTTCGCTGCTGAAACAATGAAAGCATATGACGCGTTGGGTGCCGCTACTGTGATGAGAGCATCGGTTTTGAACATATAGTTCCCAAATCTAAACATCGACGATATCGACCCGAATTTATGCCCGAACCAATGCGTGATGGATTGCGCTTCTTTGTTTGAAAACGTATACCGTGAAGGAGCGGTGAAGTTGCCAACTGAACATCGTTTAGTAATGGACTTGATCAGAAGTCCAAGTTACCGCTAGCCTGGTGCCTTACAAAGAATATGATAGCCGATGCGTTGACAAAGAGGATAGGTGGAACTCACATACGTTCCCCTATGAATGGTCGCGTGATGTAACACCAAGACATGCCGACCAAGACCGACGACAGCAACGATGTGCTATTAGGTTTCCTGGGATACGACATGGGAGGAATAGCTTTTATGGTGGTGAATTACATATGGATATGTTTATGTGGCATATTACGTATACATGTGCATACAAATGTGTGTGGATATCTAGTTGTGTGTATGTGGGTGTGGAGCTATATATATATATATACACATCGCTGGCGCCCCGCCAGAAACTTAACGTACGCCTGTCGCCAGTGTCAGTATTGCGTACTGTTTCAGCCGGGCTAGCTGAGCTCGAGCATCCTGCTGACGGCCAGCGGTGAGCCCTGGATTTCAGAATTCGGCACATCGCTGTGCCAGCTTGTGGGATAGCCTCTTGACCGACGAAGGACAACATAATTTTAGGACGAGTGTGAAAGCAAAAGCCTGGCAGCCTGCTAATTGTTGGTCCCTGGGTTGCGCATTCGGCTGCCGAAAGCAAGCTTGCACCCTAATGATGAAGCCATGGGTTGCACCCTCGGCTGCCGAACATTCAGCAACCCGTAATGGTTGCGTCATAGGTTACGCCCTCGACCACCATCAATAGGTCCACCTGCTAATGGGTTTGACCAATCAATCAATCAGTCCGCCAATGATCAGATCGCGAACACAAAACCAATTCAGGCTGCGATTGTCGGCCCAATATTCGTGCATGTGTTTTGCTTCGCAGGGGCCGATCTGTGACGGCACCTGGGCCCGAAACGGAGCGAAAACGCACATCGCGATCTCCTTCGGGACGCCCGTATGTCAAGAAGATGTCAAGGGAAGGAAAAGGGGGCGGGGGGATGAGGAAGACCGCGCCACGCGGGCGTGCACCGACCGCGCCAGCTCGCTTCTCCCCGGATCCTGCTTCGGGTGCGCGCTCTTCGGCCTTTGCCTCTCCTTCTGGCGGCCGTCGTCCTTGCTCGCCTTCTTCTCCTTCTTGTCGTCCTTGCCCTGGAGGCCCGCGGATATCCGCCCCCTCTCCCCCGCTCCCCTCTCTCCTTTTTTCACTCCCCTCTCCCCTCCCCCTCCACTTCCTCCCCCACCCAGTCCCCTCACCCTCCGTTCCCCTCCCGCCGCGCCTCCCTCCCCCCTCCCCACAGCCGCTCCCCCGCCCCTCCCGCCGCAAGGGCAAAGACCCAAGCAGCGCCAGCGACGAGAATCGCCAGTCAGCGCCGGCCCCGCCCAGCATATGCCGAGCAGTTCGCGCTGGCAGTCCGTCCGCCGATGGCCTGCCCCAGTGGGCGCTCCAGGGCTAGACCACCGCCCTCAAGGCGAGAGCGTCTCGAGCATACGGGCCCACGCCCGAGGAGGCCGCCCGCAGAAGTGGACGGGGGCGGCCAAGAACACACATCGTGCCTCCAGTGTGCTCCGACGGCGCTGTGAGGATCTAGTACGCGCCGAGGAGTGCCAAACCGCGATATTGATCGCGGCCGCGCAGGAGTCCAAGAAGATCGCTTCCCGGGCGGTCGAGTCCATGGTCGAGCTCGTGCCAGCGATGGCGACGGACAGGCCCGCGACGACCAGCGGGGGTCCTCCCTTTGAAAACAAAAAGACGCATCATTCTTCACCAACTGTGAGGCCGAGGAGTCAGACAGATCTGCCTTGCGCTAGCTCGAGAAACACCTTAAGTCAGCCAAGGACCACCTGGCGTCCAAGAATCAATGAATCGTGGCATGGCTACAAGGAAGTGCAAACACAGATCCAACAGCGCATGGCCAGGAACCGTCGGCGCGCTTAAAGTCAGACCGCAGCATGCGTCTCGGAGCAGCTGTGGTCAGCCACCACAGCCAGTCAGCAGTGCGACAGCTACGGCAGCTGGCACGACTCTCAAATTCCAGCCGATGGCCATGCAGCCAAGGAAGCGCGCAGGCAGCCGCAGCCCGGCTCGCCAAGGCGGCCAGACATCCAAGCATGAAATCCCACGCCGCGAACACACATTTCAAAGCTAGTGCTCGACCCTGCTCGAGGCACGGGCCAGGGCAAGACTGCTATTGCCCAAAGTCGGCTGGGTCAACGAAGGCGGGGAATGGTTGTTGACGCGGCAACACCTCTTTATGCAGAGCTTGAGCAAGTCGGATGTTGCGTTGTGTGATATCCGTGCCTAGGGCCTAGGGATCGAACTCGCTCGACGTGATAACCTCAACCATGGTCCACATGCGCGGGCACTCCGTTGCAACCATATGATTCTGCATATGTTGTTCAGATGGGTTCGTCGGCAGGAACCGAGTAAGATGCGCCGCGTTGAACGCGCTCCTTTCGCAGTTGCGTCGGTCATGGCCCATCGTCGAGGCCACAGTGTTGTGGGTCGGGGGAGCTCCGAGAAAGTCGGCGGCGTCATCTTCGCGCCAGGGACCATGGCTATCTGCGGGCCAGGGAACTGGTGCATCGGCCAGTTCGTTCTGTTCCACGAAAGCAGCACTACAGAGCCGAAGTGCAGCTCCGCGATTCTGTCGCCCAACTTCTCCGTCGTAAGTTGGCCGCAGCAACTCCGCCTCTCCAAGACGTGGACCTGCGCACAGGCCCAAGTGAAGCCGGGTCAAGCATGAGCGCGCCGCGCAGGGGTCGGCTTCCGAGGGGGCGATGTCAGATGCTACATCTGACATTTAGTTTGCATGTACACGTTCTTCTCGTTTTCTGTCCGACGCGTCTGACCCCGCCAATTCCGCGCGCCCAGGCCCCGAGCCCGAAGCGGCCTCGGGTTCTCGGGCCCTGTCGTCAAGTGGGCTTCCCGGGGAAACGGCACCGCGGCATGTCTCGGGCGTTCCCTCGGCAGCATTGAATTTGCAGGACCTCCCCACTGTCCTCGTTCCCGTCGGAGTTCTGGCAGTCCTGCGGGAAACAGGTCGGGCGCGCGCAGTCCTTGGGCGAGTGGGAAGTCTGCCCTATCGTTTGGGACTCTGCTGCTCCTGCTGCGGGCGGGCCTCGCATTCGCCGCCCGGAAGCTCTCTGCGCGAGTTTTGGGCTTATACGGTTGAGCAAATCATCTGCCGCAATCGTGGGATTGTTTCCCCGGGTCCTACCAGGAGAGCTCACGGTCCTTGCTTGCAGATCGTCGCAATGAAGGCTCCAGACAAGGCGCACGATCAGCCCCTTCATGGTGCGGCGGAAACTTGGCGGGGTCGCCTCTCCACGGGCTTGGGGCATTCTCAACGCGCATCAGTCGCGGCGGCGGAGTTGGCCGGCAAACTCAAGTGCGTCGGGCGCGCGCAGATCCTGTCAGCGATCAGCCTCCAGGCGCCCATGCCCTCCTTGCTCGCGCACCCACCTCGTCGTCAGTTGCCATCTCAGGGACAGCGGCGTGGAGCCACTGGTAAGCCGAGTCGATGTGCGCCGACCGCATTTCAGGCCGCGCAATTGAGCGTCTTGCCCAAACGATCAAGCGACTTTCAGGTCGTGCTCGCCGCAAAATCCTGGGATCATCTCCATCGCATGGCCCCCGGAATCTTGCGCAGGGCCTCGCAGGAAGTCCCCATGGACTGGGCGAGCCTAGAGTCAACAGCAATCCGTTGTGCCGCCTTAGTGGCATACTCGACCATGAGGCCCTCGGGTGGCGCAATCCCGAGAACCCCGAGCCTCTTCTAGGGGAAAACAAATCTGCATTAGCGTAAAGTTGGACGTCCGCGCGGATTGATTGTATCCGCGCTGGACCCCCCTCTCTGGCGCGCGGAGCGCGCGAGGGGCGGTGCAGGAGGCGCCGCCAGGGGGTCCCAGCGCCGATCCAAGAAATCCGCGCGGAGCGCCAAACCTTTATTATGCCGATCGTTCTTCTTCGATGGAGCCCCGAACAACTTCGGCTCTCGGGTGCCAGCGAGCGTCTTCAGGAAGGATGAGGGGCGCGACCGCTGCGGAGCAGCGGGAGCCTATTGACCCCGAGTGCACGCAGCGAGTTCTTCGCCCCATGAGGGCCAAAACAGGACTCGGAGTAGACTATCTCGCCCCTTCGACATGGAGCGCCTTCCGTTCGAAGGGGCCAGTGAGCTACTTTCGTTGTGTGTATTGGGGGGGGGCTGCGAGGAGCGCCTGTCACGGCCGCGGCAGACCAATGTGGTCCTGGGGCGCTCGGTAGGGAAAACGAGCGGAGGATGTGTACTGACAATTCTTATGTCAATGCTGTCTGGGACCTGGTCGCTCGCCCGCGAAGAGGGAGGCTGGTCCTGGCCCAAACATTCGGAGCTGTGGGACGCGGTGGTCGCGGGCAGCTCCGCACTTCGCAAAGGCGTTTTGAATGCTCTTTCAAGATGAAGGGCTGGCTCGTCTAGGCATTGCGTTAGGGGATAGGTTCCTAGATATTCAAAGGTTTGGCATCACAATGGGATGGGGTGCTCTTGCTCGGTCGGCTCTTCAGATGGGGCTCTCCTGTGGCTCTCGCCCTCGCCCTCGAGTTCCAGATGTGTGCTACACCCCGTGTACTTCCACAAATGGGGTCTTTCTCACACGTTCCCAGCCGCGGCAGAATACCATTCGCGGACTCAGGAGCCGTATTCGGCTTGGTCGTAGAATGGTTTACGTCATTCTGCAACGTCCCCCTGCCGTCCATATACCCATCGGGTAGACGATGCTGTGCAACGCACGGCTGGTTTGCGACGTGTTGTCCGTGTGCGGATTTGACGTGGCGTTCTTGACACTCGCCCCACTTTGCAGGAGATGGGCTCCCAGTTGTTCCTCAAAGCCTGACCCTGTGCTCGCATGCAACAGATAAAGAACGTGGTCCGTCGATTACGCTAACGAGGGTTCGTGCTCCAGTGCTCTCTGCAGACCACACGCCTGGGGTCGACTTGGTAACTGGTCAGCCCGCTAGGGCCACTCGTACCGAGAGTCGTCACGGGTAAGAGCAAGGCCACGCTTTCGGCAATGTTGGATGACGGCGCGGTTGGGAATCTGGACTTTGCGACGCCGAACTCGCGCAGAACAAATTGTAGGGAAGCACGGGCCACTCTCTCCTGCGTTCCAACTGCGCGAATGCGTCGAGCGGCCACGGCACGGCGAGGAAAACACAAGCAACGCCTTCCTACAATTGGGTTGGCTACGAACCGCCCCCACCTACAATGGTGGTTGAAGACTCGGCTCGAAACCAGGAAGGCACACATAAGTAGACACACGCATTCCATGATCATCCAAAATTGTCCATATCATGTTCTGGATCCTCGCCTTTCTCTAGGGCACGATCCGCTGGAAACTTTTGGGTTGCGGCGTCGACGAACGTCTAAGTCGATAACCACTCCTTTCGTCATACGATCAAAGCACCCAACGGGGCCTCCAATGGTTCCAAGTATGTAGAGGCCGTCCTTGGCACTGTCATCAGGGGGTCGTGGCCCTTGCCCAGGCCCAGGGAAGAAACGGGGGCCATCAAATACGACACGCGTCCCGGCTGCGGTGAGCGAAGCGAGACACCACTACACAGGGCGCGGGCGTGCCCGTGCAACGTCGGGCACAGTACCCGCCCGTCGGAATGAGTAAATGAAAACATGGAGTATGACGGCGGACAACGTAGCTTGGGTTCGGGCCCGCCCAGAGAATGGCAAAGAACAGCAAATATCAGGTCGATGCTGAAAGTAGGAAGGCGCTTGAGAAAGAGTGGGATCTCGGAATCAAGAAATACCTACTTCCAACGACTTGCGTGTAACTACGCTGAATCGGAACACCTCGCCCGCATCGGGCCCTTTCGGGCCAGGATTTCGAACGTTGGTTTCGAGGACTCCTCTGAACTTCGTGGACGCAGGTGCCTCCTCCCAGCCCCGAGGCAGCCTGGTAGTTTTCCACCGCCGACGACGCTCCTCTATCTGAGCACGCGCTCAGGCAAAGCATCCGCCCTGGCGCTCGGCGACGCCAATGGAGGGGAGCATTCGCGTGATAGCCGTCTCATCAATCGTTCTCAGCGCCTTCGACAAGCATCAAGTTCGCTCATCTACCCTTGATGGGATCCCAGGGGATGTTCAGACAGTTGCTGGAGGGAAGATGTTGGGCCTGCTTTTGGCTCTTCGGTTTATTTCGGGTCTGCTAGGATACGTGACTGGCACGGGCAGGGTGGCGGATGGGTGAAAACAGTGAACATCGGGGCTCCAACGCTGCTGTTTGGTGAATTGTTCGGGTCGAGCTTCGGGGTCGCGATCCGTCGCGGGTGGCAAATCTCGTCGCATGTCGAAGCATCAAACCTTGAGCACTCCCGTGTGCCAGGGTGTTTAGTCATCGGAGACCATGCTTCCGATCAGTGTGCCGGACTAGTTTTTGGATGTGTTAGGGTCGACGAGCACACTCAAGTGAGAGTGCTAGAAGCAGAAACAGAGGCAAACCTCGTCGGGCCCAACTTGTTCACATCATTGCTCGAGACGATGGCTGTCAAACTCTCCCAACCCAGATTTGTTACGACTGCCAGGCCGGCCACTCCCCCTGATCCCTCTGCCCTTGCCTTGCAAGGGCGGAGGGAGCAGGGGAATGGCAGGTAGGTGTCTCAGGTGCTGTGGCTCTGCTTCTTCGCCGAAGCTC